GTGCTCAGGTGAGCACCCACAGGTGTGCAGGTAAAGACAAGAGTGCACAGGTGAGTGCAGGTGTGCAGGTAAAGGTGCTCAGGGGTGCAGGTAAAGATTCTCAGGTGTGCACAGGTGTGCAGGTAAAGGTGCTCAGGGATGCAGGTAAAGGTGCTATGAGGTGCTCAGGTGTGCACAGGTGAGCAAGGGGGGAAGGTAATGGTGACCAGGTGTGCTCAGGTAAAGGTGCTCAAGTGTGCTCAGGTGTCTGGTGAGTGCAGGTGTGCAGGTGGGGGGGGTGGCACCAGGTGAGGCTGGGAGAGGTGGGACAGGTGAGCACCCACAGGTGAGCAGGTGAGGGGGGTGGTGGCACCAGGTGAGGGTTTGGGGTCACTCAGGTGTCCTCTGCACCTGTGGGCAGGTGGGGGGGGTGGGAGCTCCATCCTGGGAGACACCTGGGGGCACCTGGCAGTACCTGAGGGTCGCCGGGATTACCTGGGGGTTACCTGGGGGTTACCTGTGGATACCTGGGGGTCTCCGGGGTTACCTGTCCTGACCAGCTCAGGTGTTGCAGACTCGCTGGAGCCGGAGCCGCCTCACCTGCGCCTGGCCGGGGGCGGGCACCGCTGCCAGGGGAGGGTGGAGCTGCTGCACCTGGGCAGGTGGGCCGGGGTCTGCGGACACACCTGGGGGCCGCGCGAGGCTCAGGTGGTCTGCAGGTACCTGGGCTGTGGGACCCCCCTGGCTGCCCCACCTGGGGGCTCACCTGGGGGCTCACCTGGGGACGCACCTGAGGGCGCACCTGGGCAGGTGTGGCTGGAGCAGGTGAGCTGCGAAGGCACCGAGAGGAACCTGAGCCAGTGCAGGGCGGGGCCCTGGAGGGAACACACCTGTGCCCAGGGGGGCGTGGCCAACGTGACGTGTTCAGGTGGGTGTGACGTCATCCTCACCTCTGTGAGGGGCTTGGGGTGTGACGTCATCCTCACCTGGGCAGGTTGCACAGGTGTGGGGGGATGGGACAGATGTGCTCAGGTGTGTCCGAGAGCTTCACCTGCCCATGTCACACCTGAGCCCTTCCCTCTCTCCTCTCACCTGTCCCCTCCTCATTTCCCTCCCCCCAGGTATCGTCTCACACACCTGAGCCCCACCCTCACCTGCCCAGGTCACACCTGTAACCCCCCTTCACCTGACCCCCTCACTGCCCCTCACCTGCTCAGGTACCCCCCCCCTCACCTGTAACCCCCCCTCACCTGCCCAGCTCTCACCTGTCCCTCCCCTCCCCTCCAGGCTCGGCTCTGGCCACGCCCCCCCAGGTGCGCCTGGCGGACGGGCCGCACAGGTGCGCGGGCCGTGTGGAGGTGTCACACCTGGGCAGGTGGGGCACGGTGTGCGATGACACCTGGGGCTTCGCTGCGGCCGCCGTGGTGTGCAGGTACCTGGGCTGCGGTCACGTGATCGCGGCCCCGCCCCGCGCGCGCTTCGGGCCCGGCAGCGGCCCCGTGTGGCTGGACGGGCTCACCTGCACAGGTGAGGAGGGAGCGCCCTCCGAGTGCCGCCACAAAGGATGGGGAGTGCACACCTGTGAGCACAGCGAGGACGCGGGAGTGGTGTGCGCAGGTGAGCGGGGACAGGTGAGACAGGTGAGACAGGTGAGGGGTGGGAGAAAGGTGAGGAGATGGGACAGCTGAGACAGGTGAGACAGGTGAGACAGGTGATGGGATGGGGGACAGGTGAGAGGCAGGTGAGGGGATGGGACAGGTGAGGGACGGGGACAGGTGAGACAGAGACAGGTGAGGGGAAGAGGGGATGGGACAGGTGAGGGACAGGTGAGGGGACAGTGGCAGG